ATTTATGCTAATCCTAATGGTAGTTAAAGGAAGCATCTTTGGAGTCAGTTGGAGGATTTAAACCCCAGGGATTCTATTCCTTGAGTACTTGGCGGCGATTTTAGTGCTATAGTGAATCCGGATGAACGTATGGGGGAGGTAATGGGCATTTTAATGGCATTCGCCCCTTTGGAAATTTTATCCATTTTAAATACTTGAAGAATCTTGGTTTTGTTGGACCGAAGTTTACTTGGATTCAGGGCAATCTTCACCAAAGACTTGACAGGTGGTCGGTTAATAATTCTTGGTGTTTAGCTTTTGTTGATTCTCGGGTCAAGTATTTGGATAGGTTGGGTTCAGATCATAGATCCATCCTTCTTAATGTAGAGTGTGAGAATCAAGAGTACCATAATAGACCCTTTCGATTTTTGGCAGATAGGCAACAACACCCAAATTTTCAGGAATTCCTTAGATTGTAGTGGAAACATGGAGTTAATATTGAAGAGAGTCTTGAAGGGTTCAAAACTAAAGATATAATTTGGAACTCAGAAGTTTTTGGGCACATCTCGTTCTTTAAGAACTTGTTCACTGGACAGGGTGGAAATAATCGATATTATGAGGTTCATGGTAAGTTTATGCGTATGGAAAATCATAAGGTTAATAGTCTTACGCTTGTTACTACGAATGAGGAAATTCATACTGCTATTTCAAATATGGGATCCTTATAAACGCCAGACATTGATGGTCTTCATGCTCTATTCTATCAACAGAACTAGAGTATTGTAGGGGATTCTGTCTGCTCATTTATTCATCATATTTTCGCTAATGGTCATCTTCCTCGACATATTAATTGTACGTTGATGTTGCTTATACCAAAAGTGTCTGTCCCTTAAGGAGTGCATCAGTTTCAGCCGATCAATCTTTGTAATGTGCTTTACAAAATTGTTACTAAATTATTGTGAATAGACTTAAGCCTTTGTAACATTCTTGGGTGTCGGTTTGTCACTGGTTGTTGTATTACAGATAATATTATTATCTCTCAGGATGTCCTTCATTTTATGCGAAGGAAAAATGGGAAACGGGGATGGATGCCGATAAAGATCAACCTTGAAAAAACTTATGACAGACTGGATTGAGATTTTATTGATGATACTTTGATGGATTTTGGGATTTTTGATGATTTTTGGAAGCTTATGAACAGTATCTCTACGGTTTCGACTCAGGTTCTTTGGAATGGAGCCATGAATGATTTTTATGTATGAAGATGCTATCTCAAGCGATCCAAATTGAAATTGATAATGGTCGTTGGTAACCTTTTCGAACCGATAAGAAGCATCTCCCATTTATTTTTTGCGGATGACATGATTCTTTTTGCCAAGACTTCGATTAAGCAAGTTCAGGTAATTCGCTCTGTTCTAAATCGCTTTTATGTTGTGTCAAGGCATAAAGTTAGTTTGCCAAAAACTAATAATTTCTCCTCCAAGAATGTCCATTTAAACTTCCGGAATCATACTAGTGATTCATTTGGTTATACGATAGTGGAGGACCTTGACAGGTACTTGGGGGTTCCTTTACTGCATTCTCGAGTTATTGCTGGCTCCTATCGCTGCCTTGTCCAAATGATGCAAAATAAGTTGACTGGATGGAAGTCGAGAACTCTCTCTCTTGCGGAGCGTATCACCCTCGCTAAATCAATTCTAGCCGCTTTTCCTACTTATACTATGCAAACGGCGGTCCTCCCTAAAAAGATCTGTTTGGAGTTGGAGCGTTTGATTAGATCCTTTGTTTGGGGTAAAGGATCAGGTAATGGGGGCTTTTCTTTGGTTCGTTGAGACAAGGTGTGTCAACCGGTGGAAGTGGGAGGTATCGGCTTCAGACGCTTAGAAGTGCAAAATGAGGCTTTTATCATGAAACTTGCTTTTTAGCTGATTACTCGGAATGATACCTTATGGGTTCGGTTTCTCCGAGCAAATACAAGTAACATGATGAGCTTTCGATGAATACTCGTAACAATAATTGCTCAAGACTTTGGATAGGTATAGGTATTGTTTGGCAACATGTATGTAGTAATCTCATTCGGGTTGTTGATCATAGACATAATGTTGATTTTTGGAGGGATAATTGGATTCCGGATTTGGGCCCTTTAATTAATTATTTCAACAGCAATAATGCGCATAATTGTATGAATTTCGGTGGCAAATATGGCAAATCTGGTCGGGAACTGGAAGTGGAATCTGTTTGAGCACATGTTACTAGTGAACGTGTTACTACGGTTAGCAGCAATTAAAGGTCCTTGTCATGGCTCAAGTAATGATCATTTTGGGTGGCCAAGAAATGAGGATCGAAGTTTCTCTGTTAGAACGACTTACGAGGTTCGGATGATGCCTAATATAGATGTGGGTGATCCCGTTTGGAGAGTGATTCAGCGGTACAAGGGGTTGCAACGTGTGAGGACCTTTCTTTGGCTTCTTTGCAGGTGAAAACTTATGACAAATGTAGAGCGAGTTAAAAGAAACCTCACTAACGATGGAAGTTGTCCTTTATGTGTTGGCTCGTAGAGGATATCGATCATGTTTTTCGTAAATGTTTGGCGGCTGCCCCCATTTGACTTATTTTAATTAAAAAGGATAAGGTTACAGAATTCATGTCCATGGATTTGAGGAGCTAGATTAAGACCAATCTAGTAAACATGAAGTATTTTGCCACGATAAGTGAGAATTGGGGTATCTCATTCGGGGCAATTTTATTGAATATACGGTGTAATCGGAATTCGATTGTTTTTTATAATTCGTTGGAAGGTACTGCTAGCATTCTTGATCGAAGTAAAAGGCTTCAAAATTTGGCGTGCAAGGCCATTGAGACCAAAACAAGGGTGCGCACAATGCAGAATAATACAATCGTTGGTGATGCGGAATAGTAATGGTATGTCTTCTTGTGGTGGAGCTGTTAGGAATCAGGATGGAATGTGGATTATGGGATTTACTAAAGTCATGGGTATTTGTTCGGTTATAGAAGCTGAATTGTGGGGAGTATATGTTGGGCTCAATTGTGCTTGGAATACCGGGATGCGGAAGGTTGCGGCTGAGACATAGTTTACATGCTATTCGGTTGATTCGAGAGTATAAAACTAAAGGTGGCCAGATCTCTATTTTGGATCATATAGCTATGTTGATCAATCGGCAATGGGAGGTCAAATTCCAGCATGTTCTTCGGTCGGAAAATCGAGTGGCGGATTACCTAACTCGATGTGACAGGTCGAATGAAGTGGAAACTCAATTCCTACATGTTCCACCTGATTCGATTCTTGGGATGATAATGACCAAGGTTGTTAGAGAGGTGGGTTCACCACTAGTTGGTTGTTTGCTCAAATGATTGTTGCTTGATTGTATTGTTACTGTACTCTTTTCTTCCGAATAAGTTAGAGAAGATTTTTTTAACGAGGTATATGATAATAAACTCTTTTTTCATAAAAAATAAAAAAGAAAGAATTTAAAAGACTATGTCCACCAAAAACTCAAACATAAAATAAAAGGAAAAACCTAAAGACGTAGTCGAAACCTTCTTTTAAATCTAATGTCATCATCTATAGTAATTCAGTAATCGTCAAAAATATTCCTTTATCTCTATTGAACTAGATGTTTTAGAGATGATAAAGGGGTGGCGAGCGAACCAAAATAAACGTACAAGTTGTTTTGCCAAATAGATTTTAATACATCGACAACCAATCACAAATGAAAATCTAACCATCGAAAGACCACCAATAATCACAAATCAAATATGGAATGAGATTATTTAATAACAAATATTTTACTTTAAAACATCACTATATTATTGAAATTATAATATTTTATAATTGTAAATATCACCGAATTTCATGAATCTTGGTTTATTTACGGGGGAAAACGTTATGCAAATCTTCTCACGTCTAATCATATCAACATCACCATCTTTACAATAATTAGATTATAATTATATGATCTCTCTCTATCAAATATTTTTGTAGTACAAAAATAGATATAAATGTTTTTTTATTCAATCTTCAAAAATTATTTCATAACATTACTTAAGGAAAAGAAAAGTAAAATATGCTCATTTGGAATTTGACAGGTAGGATTTTTTTTTAATTGGAGATCTTATTGATTATAAAGCCCAACTAAAAATTATGTACACATAGTAGAACATGCTTGAGATGTGGAAACAGAAATGCTATATTCCAAATGATTTGGTTTGACTTTTAAGGCTAAGATTTTATCCTATAGTAAGAGTTATGTATAATCAACATTTAAGAGTAATGTATTATCTCCACAAGTAGCAGATTTCTGGGCCAAGAAGATCCTTCAACTTTTGTTTTTTCCTTGGCTGTATCTCATGGTTATTTTAACTATTATTAGATTGGCTTTTCTTTCTTATCTGATACATCACATCCCTGTGCTAGTTCACAATTCATATCATGTTCGAGTGTAAGTTCAGTATATACGAAAATTATCTATTACACAGATCGTGTATATAAGGACGCCATTGCAGCGAACTTATGCATGGGATAAACAATTACACTAATCCCATCTTCATCTCTTTCTCTCTTTCACTATGTAATTCTACTAACCTACCTGCTTCGTCTACTTGCCATCTTTCTGTTTTGTTTTGGGCGTCTATAACACGAACTGTTGCGGGGAATATTGTCTGGTACGAAGCCATTCATCTGAATCTTTAATGTCTTTTGAATGATTTCGGACCAGGCTTCATTCCCCTCAACTTGGTTTTAGATATATATATATTCTTAGCTTCACTGTCCCAAGGATCAAATTTGCATGTACCTACATTTGCTGCAAATAGGAAGTAGAGTTGGAATCAAGAAATCCTTAGCCAATGGATCAGAGAAGCCAAAATTAGTATCCAGATTTTCATGGTTTTTTATATGTCGTCATAAACAACTCTCTCTCATTATGTGGATATCTCATTATGTTGTCACATACCATGAATGGCATTAGCAACAAATAATCCTTAAAAAATATTTTTGACATATATACATACTGCATTAGCAAGTATCCCTTCCCTAGATTTGAAAGCATAAACTAAACAGAAGATCAACTTTCTTGCTTGGACTCCAAGTAAACTAAAATTGGAGCCTCATACAAGCACGATAGCCACAAATGCATTTGCACTCCCTGTTTTTCTTCCATCAATAAGTCTAACCAGATTACCTCCATTATAGATGGCTTTGCACGGACTCAGAATTAGGAGCAAGCCAACACATTTTGAAACTTCCATTCGGTATGCAAGTTTCAGCATAGACCCGCCAACTCAAGAATTTCGCCTGGTAGTCAAGCACGCAAACAAGTTTCACTCGGGCATCATTTAGATGGCTCCTGGACTGGGAATGTTGGAAGCAATTTCAAAGTTTCAAGATAGGCTTTATCTTTTGAAAGTAAATCTACAACTGCAGCGGCAGTGGATGCATCAGGTGACAATTTTTTCTCCACCATTTTATGAAGAAGTTCCACTATTTTTTCGGTGTTATTCTTCCGAGAGAAACCATGCAAGAGTGTATTAAATGTTACAACATTCGGAGTACAACCCTTTTCCTCCATTTCTATTAGCAAACCATTTGCCTTTTCTAGCTGTCCTTCCTTGCACAGAAAATGGATCATTATAGAATAAGTTACAACTGTTGGTTTCAGGACTTTATTTGGCAATCCATAAAATAGCTCCCAAGCAGTTTCAAGTTTCCCTGTTTTGCACAGCCCATTAATAAGTGAATTGAACATTTTAATACTAAATCCAAACTTGCAGTTTTCTAACTTATGAAACAGTTCCAATGCCTCTGGGACACAACCATTTTTGCAAAGTCCATCCACAAAGGCATTATAGGTGCAAGAATCAACCACAATACCATCAAACTGCATTTTACCAAACAGTTCTCTAGCTTCGTCAACCTTTCCGGCTCGGAAAAGACCAGTCAATAAGGTGTTATATGTGATAGTGGTTGCTTTGATCCCTTTGCCTTTCATTTCCTGATAAAGCCTCATAGCTTCATTAACCTTCCGCTTTTTGCAATAAGCATTGATCATTATATTATAGCTAACCACATCTAGTCCATTCTCCTTACTTTGCAACGAAACAAACAGATCCCCTGCAATATCAAGCTTACCAGCCAAGCAATACCCATCCAACAAAGTGTTATATGTGAATATATCAGGATTGACTCCTCTCTGAATCATTAAATCTAACAATTGGTTTGCTTCTTCCATCTTCTCCATCTTGCATAGTGTATCGATTAACACATTGAAAGTGACCACATTTGGACGCACACCTTGATCCAACATAACAAGAAATAGGCTTTTAGCCTCCTTCAAATTACCTATGCAGCAAAAACCATGAAGTAAAGAGCTACAAACAACCACATCCGGAGAAATTCCCTGACTCTTCATTTCCAAGAAAAGTTCCCTTGCCTTTTCCACCATGCCCTCTTTACACAGGCTATCAATAATAATACCATAAATAATAACATTGGGCTTACACGCCCCATTTCCATTAACCATTTCCTCATATATCCGAAGAGCAACACTCATATTCCCCATTCGACACAGACTATTAATCAAAGTCCCACAACTAAGAACACTAGGCTGGCAACCAAAAACAATCATTTTCCCGAACAAGCTAGTTGCTTCATCAACCTTATCCACAACAATCAGCCCTTTAATCAGAGCTGTAAAAGTTACAGTATCTGGTCTATAACCCCACCTAAAAAGCCTACCTAAAACAGCAAAACCGTCACCAGCTCGACCCATTTGACATAAACAATTAAGCATAATATTAAAGGTAATGAAATTAGGCGAAAACCCAATTGAATCCAATCTCTTGCAAAGAAAAACAACATGACTATATTGCTTAATCTTAGCAATTGCACCTAACAACAGATTAAATGATGACATTGGAGGAGGGGGTTGCATTTGGCTCATTTGATTAAAAATATTCAATGCTTCATCGAGAGTAATGGCACCTGACTTGAGAATTACATAGAGTGGTTCGAGGCTTGCAATAGTATCTTTGCTGTGGTCTGAAGATTTGGGATTCTTAGAAGTGGGCTTTTGGCGCGGATTGAAAAGAGACGAAAGCTTGCCTGATAGAGTAGATTTCGCAGAAGAAGAAATAAATGATAGAGCAGCTCCATTAGCAGCTGAAGAAAAGCGGAGCGTCGTTGTGGCGACCATTTCCCGGGATGTTTTAGAAAAAGAGACTTGTTAAACCCTCCGGAATCACGTCTAATAACATGCAAGTATATTAGTGAATAATCTTGGTTTTCTCGGGTCCCTTGGGCATGGCCCAAGAGCCAATAAAGAGAAAATTGAAATTTAATAATAACAGGCAGTAATAACAAATAAGGGAAATAAAATAAAACAAGCAAAACTCTATTTTCCTAGTTTCTTTCCCAATATTTTTCTCAGAGTTGGCGTACCAAAGAGAATCTAAAAAGGACAAGGAAAATGAAAGTAAAACTTAGTTGATCTAACAGTGAGTGAGCGACAATATGAACTAACCCATCGGAAAATTTAAACTTCTTCTGAGAATAAGAATCCGATCGAAGAGATGAACGGAGTTTCAGTCACCAGCGAACTAAAAAGCGCGTTGAATTTCTCTAATTCTCTTCATTGTCGTTTCACTGTTTCTCGAAGATTTAAATTTAGGATGGCGTTGGAAATTAATGGTGCTTTTAGACAAAGGAGAAGCAGACGGGGGGTTTCAGGTGGAAGAAAGATTTAGGCCGACGGCAGCTAAGATTTTTGGGTTAGGGGGTAAGCTGATTCGGGTGTTTTGTTGCCAACCATTGGGTCGGGTTTTGGATAGTCGGGTGAATTTTCATATTATCTATTTTAAATTCAAAATTAAAATTACACACGATTATTATTATAATTATTTTGTTAAACTATATAGTAACCACCAAATTATATCTCTTTTCATCTTAGTTATTATTTTTTTCAATTAGATCATCTAACTATTTAAATGTATTAAATCAAATCACTTTCTTTAACATTTAACAGATAGAAAGTTGACATGATAATTAATAAAATTGATATAATTATACATTTATCTTTATTATTTATGCAATCTATCAAAAAATTTAAATTAATTTAATATATTTAATTTTCCAATGTAAAAACATGTAAATGACATTATTGAGTTTTTTTCTTATTTTAATTTATATTTTATTTAAATATTTTTTCTCCCAAGATGTAGCAGTGGAAATTCAAACCAAGGTCCCTATGGGAGATAAGCATGCCTCTGCCACTACGCCAACAACAGCCGTTATCTTAAATTTTACAACCTACATTATTTATTTGACACTATAACTAATGCCAGAAAAAATAAAAACAAAAGTAGCAATATAGCGACTTAAATTTAAAATTATAAACATATTAAATTTATTTTTATTTTAAATCTTATTCTAATTATTTTTAAATAAAGATAACATGAACAAAATTATTAACTAATGATTACATTTGCTTTGGTGGCTTAATTTTTTTTTTGTATTTCATAATAGGTAGGAATAGTAAAAATATTTGAATCCGACGAGTCTTGATCCGACTCGGTCCAGTAAGGGCGCTTTTTTTAAAAATTTGGTTCGGCGTGGGACAGGACAAGTTATATAATAGATAATTTTGAGGTGGGACGGACTGAGTTTAAGGTGAAAAATTATTGACTTGACTCAATTTGATATAAATTATTAGTTTACCCCTTATATATGTAAAATTTAAAATCTTAGAAATTTCTATTTATATAGTATTATAAAATATATTATTTTTAACCTAAAAGTATGGGCGGGTTCAAAAGTGAAGAAAAGCTAACAGGGCGAGACATGATGGGGGTATAAATAAGGGAAAATTATGCCAGTAGTCTCTTTTGTTTTCAGTCTGACCGACTTTAGTCACTGATTTTTTAATTAAGTGTGTTTGGTCCCTTACGTCATCAGTCCGTCCAGTTTAAGTCACTCGACCGTTAACTTCCTGTTAACCCATTAATAGAACTCTGAGTTGACAATTAAAAAGTAAAATAAAAAAAATCAAAACCCTCCTCCTCCTCCTCCTCCTCCTCCTCCTCCTCCTCCTCCTCCTCCTCCTCCTCCTCCTCCTCGAGCTGGAGCTATTCACTATTAAATGACACCATAGAGAGTAATAGCTACGTGATGAAGGCACTTGCCGCATGTGGATGGAAGACAGAAAAAATAAACTTAAAAGTATGAGAGAGATAAAACCAGCATATATTGATTATGTGCAATAGGTTTATAACAATAGTAAAACTCAAACGAGAAAAATGGAAAAATGGAAAAATCTGGTTTTCTCATATATGGTCAAATAATGCAAAATTGCTGTATATATACAACCATGCTAACCACCATGACTAACAGTTGAAACTAACAGCTAAGCTAACTTCCATAACAAACTAAAACATCTAACTAACAATATAATATCTTGATAATAAGGTTCCTTGACTTCTGGCAACTTTCTGGCATTTGTATCAACTCCATTCCCATTTTTCCTCTATGATCATATACAGGCCAGTTAGCATAAAAACCAGCTTATTCTAGATTATAGAATACTTAAAGTGATAGCAAAGGATAATAACCTTTCTCCGTGAGTCAAAAGCAAAAATAGCAACATCGTTGTTTTTGAACCGACAACAACATCGTCAAAATTCTGTGTCCAAAACAGTAGAATATCTATCACCATTGCAAACTAAAAGAATATTAAAAGAGAAGGCTGCAAGAAAATCACAAGAGTTATTACCTTGAACACAGAAACATCAGTTGCTTCTTACTATCATAATTAAGGCCATCATCCTTCTCAACATATTTTCTTCTGCCACCCTCAATGTTAATATTCTCTTTGGTTTCGAAACCATCTTCACTATCACTGTGTACAAGGTACCTATGACAGTCATCTTCTTCCGTGGCTTCTTCCTTTCTTTTCTTCATTCCACGTTTCTAAACACATAACAAATGAGGGCTATCTTTGATAATCCAAATGAAAGACACAACAACAAATAGCATGAAAGGTAAAGAAAGAACTCCAGAATTGGGCAATTCTTCATCGTCTTTCAATACTTTCGGTGTTTTATCTTTTTTTGTTAGCAACTCAAATGCCCTATCCTTGTTTGAACCCTCGTCATCCTCGTCACTAATGTTATCATTCCTACTGCTAACAGTGTTAATTTTTCTCGTCAAAAGAGCATGATGGTGAAGCTATTCAGCCAGTATAATGAAGATCTCCTCCCCACATTTATGAACGTTGCTTAATATTAACATATATATATTATGATCACAGCTATATATAGGTGAAGAAAGTATGGATTATAATGAGATATATGGACATTAAAATTTAGTTTGCAGGGTTTTTTTGTTGTTGAAGAAAGTATAAAAAACAATACATTAAATATGTTTTGATTGGTGTATATGACATGTAGTTCGAATTGACTTTGACCACGGCGGTCGATGCAATGATGGTGGCCATAGTATACTTGGCTCACAATGGTATCCTAATACAAAATGTCTAGTTATCTGCCAACAATTCGGTGAATTTTACCAGAAAGTGAGAGAAACCGTGGTAGCACCCTTTGTTATTGTTTCCAAGTATTTTCAAGGATTTCAAAGCACTGAATTTAAAGAAGAAGAAGAAGAACGTGGTGTTTTTGAATTTTTGAAGAAGAAGAAGAAACATGTGGATGTTTTTGAAATTTTTTATTATTTAATTGTGAACTCGGATTTTTGTTAATGTGTTAACAGAAGTTAACGGTCAAGGGACTTAAACCGGATGGACCGATAACGTAAGGGACCAGGTGTATTTAATTAAAAAACCGGTTACAAAAATCGGTCAGACCGAAAATAAATGAGACTATTAGCATAGTTTTCTCTATAAATAATATATTTTCAGGCCGGGATCGGGACGGCAAAAAAATTGGCCTGCTCCACCCGTGCCCATCCCTAGTAAGAGGTCAAGGTTTGAGTCGTTTATTGTTACTTTTATTTTAATTTTTTCTGGCACTCTTTATAGTTTAAAATAAATAACGAATTTGTAAATCTTGTGTCGAGTACTAATTTTACTAACTGTAACGTCAGCACTTCCGTTAAATGTTATTGGCAAGTGACATGATTGAATGCATTTAATTACTTAAATAACCTAATTGATAAAAATTTAAAAATAGAAGTCAAATGAAAAAGGGTTATAGTTTGATGATCACTATTTTTTATTATCAATTTTAAAGATAAATTATAAGAATAATTATTAATATTTAAATAAATTTGGTGTTTTAAAAATTATGATTTAATTATCAATATTCTTAATTTATAATAAACTAATCACTTGTCATTAATAATTATTATTGAGGCAACGAAATAATTAAAACGATTATCTGCTATTGTTTTACCATACGAGATGATGACACATATTGATTATCTGACTTTCTGAGAATTACGTTTAAAGAAAAAAAATTAAATAAAAAGGGTTCTCTTTAAATTCTTGTCACTTCTTTTTTAGATGAATTGGATGTTGTTCGTTGGAGAAAAAAGTTCGATCAAGCTCATACAATAGAAATATGGAGACGACGACCAATTCTGGTGGTGAGTGATGATATGTAAAATAAAGGATTGAAACACAGTGACAAAACTTAACATTATACTTTGAAAGGTCAATTTTGAGGAAAAAAATCATATGTATTAATTAAAATACATTAATTCCTTATTCAATGTCAATTATATATCAAAATATCATACTAATAAAAGAAAAATATAACCCTAAATTATAAGTATCACTGTAAATTATTCCTCAAATTTATGAACATTTTAATTTCATCCCTAAACTATAATCTTTATTCTAAATCATCTCCAAACATTTTGGACATTCCAATTTCACCCCAAACTATACATATATACTAATCACATCCTACGTTAATTAAATTGTTTGTCTAAGTTATATTATTAAATATTTGAAAAAACAAAAAAAAAATATGTTAAACTATGATTGAAATTGATTACATATTTTCGGAAGAATTTGGAGATGAAATTGTAATATTCAAAAGTTTGGGGACCAAATTAGATAGGGGTCATAACTTAGGCTGAAACTAGAATGTACAAAAGTTTAAAGACTAATTTAGAATGAGAGTTGTAGTTTAGGGATCTTTAAATTTTTCCAGGAAAATTCCAATAATCCGAACATTTTCAAACCACTGATAATAAGTTTTCTCTAAAAATTCATCCAGTCCCCATAACGTTTTCTCAAAATCACTTAATCTTATACCTCTACACCTCCAAATCAAGCTATTATTGTTTCCTCCCCCTTCCTTTCTTCACTAGTTAGAAAATCCATATACATGCACTGGTAAATAATAAAGGATATGTAGGAAAACAATTGTGCATAACAAAAAGTAAATAAACTCCATACGACCAACACCATATTTTCATAATCCTATCCAGTTGGATCTTGATTATGGATTTCCTGTATGTCAACGAAACTCCAAGCTATTTTTTACCGCTTTAAATTTCAGATTTTAAAATACATTTTTACCAGCTATTTCCTTATTAAGCTCTTAGAGAGTTTTGAGCTCCACTAATCTTTTCAAGTTTCAAAATCCCATCTTCCAGAAGAGACTGAATAAAATGATATCTCAATTGTATGTGCTTCATCCTGGAATGAAAAGACGGATTCTTTGCTAGATGGATAACACTTTGATTGTTGCAATACAAGAC